TTAGTTTAAATGTGGTGTCAAACGCCAGAAAATTTTGTCCTTGCAAAATTAAAGTGATTAATTTAGTATTTACCTTGTACAGACTAAAACTGAAAAAATATTTATAATTATTTTATATTATTTTATTGATAAATTTTTCCAACTTTCAATACAGTGCCAAACTATAAAACTACACATTATTCCATGGTCAAACTAAGTTTGTTATGAATTGTACACTGCTTTCTGTACATTTAGGCACGGATGTTTGTATCTGGAAAAGAACAACAAAGTAGCCACCCACTCAAAACATGTATTAAACATGCAGTACCCATCTTAACTCAAATAAATCCCCAGTCCCTGGATAAACAAAATAGACTTGTCTTTGTGTGTATGGTTGCCATGCAATTAACAGTTATACTGCAACAAAGACAATGGTTGCTATGAAATGTGACAAGGCCAAGTTTAATGACAGTAGCAATATGTATTGTACCAATATTGATCAGTAGACATTGCTAAGCCATAATACCTCCTTTTTTGCTTGCCTTGTTTCTCTCTAAATACATGTTATTACTGAAGTTTTCCGTATTCACAAAGTACTAGTAGTCAATCTGAGTCAACAATTGCCTTGAACTTTTGTGAACTGACAATTCTCACAGGTGTCTCACTCAACTATTGTTGTGACCCAAGTTTATGGGTTAATAAAAGCCAATTGTGCGATGGGATAATCCAGTAACTTGTTATTACACTTGGGGGGTTCTTTTTGTGTGTGCATGTATTATTAAATGACTGAAATGTTTTTTTTTTTTTTGTTTTTTTTTTTACAGAACCAGAGGATATTGAACCAAATATTCTGGATGCTGCCAAGACAGGTAATAAATCTGCTGCCCTCTATTGTTCAACCTTGGACATGACTGTTACTTTTTAACAAAATCAGACCTTTTTTGCTTTCCATCAATATTCCTAAAACCCTGAACTAGATTGTATACATAATGACCATTGACCATAGATCTTTACTCTTGACTTTTTACCCATCATTCAATGTGGTAATTTTAAATAATGCAAATTAGCATTAAAGTAATTAAAATCAGTTATAGTGCATATCATAAATGTTATTTTTAAAATTGGAGAAAGCTGCTAATACCAATAAAACAATTTGTGATGTTTCATTTAGTTACTAAAGTATTAAAACTACAATTATTAAAGAATAATAGAATATTGCAAAGCGTTTGCAGGGCTCTATGAATCACTATTCGCTGATCACATGTGGGGTTTTTAATTAGCATAATTAGCTGTTAAATGAATCAAATGTACTGTGATTTTCTTTATTGTGCATTTTAAATTTTTTCTCGCTAAAAATATAGACATCTGAACAATTATTTACCTTGTGGGCCATTATAGCATTGACCTTTTTTTGTTTTTTTTTGCAAAGAATTTGAAATCATTTGTCCCATCAAATTGTCCATTGATTATTTCTGGCTAGTTTTAACTTTTTAACCTTTCCACCCAAATTGTTTTATACTTTTTTCTTATATTCTTCAATATTTCTGGAAATGAACCCTAATTTTTGAGCTAAGAGACACAATTTGAGTAAATTTTCAGTTTTTAGTCATAAAATTTGGCTATTTTTGTCCCAATCTTCTGAAAGAAAGTGCAGACTATAAACGGGTCTATTTTGTGAATTTGTGATGAAAAGAGAGAACTGGTGATGAAAAGGTTAGAAGCACATTAGAATTTCAACGTATATCAACAATGTCTATTTTCTCGTACTTTTTTTTGAAATACTGATTGATATTAGGAGTGGTATATTACATTGATAGACTTCATATCACTAAATCAATTAATGGCAATCGAGAACTGTTAACTCAAATTACAACAATATTAACATATTCATTAGTATTTTATGTCTATTACTTAATAATGTATTGGGCATGATGATGAACGAACCCCTTAAATAAATATTCATTAGCTATTCCAGGCAGAAAAAAAAAGCGCTGTTGGTTGAAATTTTTACATTATCGTAATGTAGATCTTATTGAACTATCAGCAACTTTTTGATATGAAAATCGACGTGGTAGTTCTTTGAGATATCAACCGATCAGTTGTAGAGCTGACTGAATATTACAATTTTTTCTTCACAAACAGAGCACACGAGTATCTGATTCTTTATTTGGAAAAATCAATAGTGTTATTTGTACACTGCGGGAAAAAAAACAAAAAAAAAACGCTAGAGTTTATCAAAGAAATGCAATATACATGTGTGATACGTATAATAAATCAATCGTAAAAACATTTGTATCGCTTGACGAGAGACGGCTCTTATGTGAAGTGTTATTGTTGTTGATGGCACGCTGACTGCCTTTACGTCTGATGAATAGTTGTTACTCTAGGATACACAAAAATTATTTTAATTAATAGACAAACATAAACAAGTATCCTTTATAATAATGTCTTTGTTCATTTATAATACTTTAAATTGTATCACGATTTTCTTTCCTCGTGACTGTTAAACATTATCATCTACTTGGAAGGGGGAGGGGGGGTTGGGTATTGCATGCCATTTGTGATGTTTCATTTAGTTACTAAATAGGAATGGGGGTGGGGGAGGTTGTATGTGTATGGTTTGTAATATATATTTAAAACATGGACTGCTATTGTTGCTATGGTAATCCTAAAATTTGATGTTGTAGTTATGTTGGTGATGAATTATATAGAGGTATATGGGTAGATTTCCCACATGTTTTCTGTTTCTGATTACCCAAAAATATAAATCATAAAAAAAAATTAATAAAATTTTATAAAAATGCTGGTGTCTGATATCACGCACATACGAAAAAGAACCCCTATAACTTTTTTTTATCAAAATCTCATTTTAAGGTTCTTAATCATTGCCATTGTTTTGAATAATAATCTCTGTCAATCATCGGTTTATTATATATTCGATGTGTAGAATGTTTAATTTGCTATGATATGATTCTCAGTAGATTTTCAAGCCTTTTGTACAAGTTTTAAATGAAAACACATTGATTATTTTTCGATTTTCCGGTTCGCTGGACCTCACAGTACAGTATATATGTATATATGTCACACCTCTGTCTTATCTTTGAACAAACGCTTAGCTAGACTGATAACAGCGTGTCTATTTCCTCGCATTTGGGCGCTCAAATACGAACATTTAGATACAAACCTTGACTATTTTATCAGGGCGTTTTTTAACATGAGAAATAGTGTTTAATACCCAGATGTTGTTTGTATACATAGCAACAGCATATGCGACAGGTTTCCTAGTTAGGAACTTCATACCAGATTTATTCGCTTAATCTCAATGCACGCGAGTCTGTACTATTAAAGTCAGTAAGGCAGGTGGGGAATGTAAGGCGACTGACTCCTTTGACCCCGGGTAAATTTAAAGCCCTTAGTTCTGTTTAATGTTGGCACAATGTTAGCTTGTTATGTAATTTTTTTTTGCAATCTTTACAAAGCTTTTATTGATTTGCATCCCAAGGAGTTTCTGTTAGTCTAAATTTGCCACTCGCAATTGAACTTGGTTACTGTGGAATACTTTATTTTTGCTGGAATTAATTTTCGCTGAAAAGGCTTTTTTGGCGTTTTGTATGGAATTTATTTTCACTGATTTTTGATGAGTTTAATGTGAAATATAGAAAAAAAAGTATATTCGCTGGATTTTATTTTCATAGAATCATTCTTTCAGCGAAAATAGCGAAAATAAATTCCAAGCGAAAATAAAGTATTCTACAGTTTTCAAAATGAAGACGAAGTGGTCTATGAACGCAAGACCAAAACTGGATGGTAGAATTATGTCAGAGCAGTCATGCCCACATAATGCCAGGAAATAGAATACATTTAATTCCAGTCCAATTCTTACTTTATTATTGGTTACACAGACAGTGGGCAATAAGTAGAATATGACTTTTCATTATTATGAATTATTACACGTGTCTGTTGTAGCTAAAGTACTGCATTTACCTGTGTATGGTCTTCTCGTCCAAGTTTATACAACAACTAAAACTACTCGTCAATTTTTTTTTATATAATCATCGAATCAAATACAAGCATGTATTTATGTTTACTAGTATTTATAAATATAACTCTCTCCATTTAAAATTCTTTTTCAAATCTAAATAAGACAATTTGATTGGCTAAGCAGCACTTACATGTATCTTCATTCCTTGAAAGATGTATGCATGAGAATTAGAACAGCTATAGTCACTGCATGTATTTATGCAACAAGTTAGTAACTGTCAGTTAACATGCATGTCTTTGGGGACTAAACCAGCTTGAAGTAATCACAATGATATAGTTATAAGTAAGACTTAAAATTCAAATGTAGCTGATATAGTTAGTGAAACTTTACAAGTTTGCATCATAGCATCTATAGTAATCCTTTACAACGACAAACACTATATATACGGTAAAATGTATAAAATGATAATTATTATAATTTTTATTTATTTATTGAAGGCAATATCAAGAGAATACGTGTAATACTTCACGATGATGTGAAGGCTGCGGATACAATCGGTGAAGACGGGGGTACTCCCCTCATGTTTGCAGCAATGCGCGGACAGTTGGAGATTGTTGAATTACTTGTAAATTACGGCGCTGATGTAAATCGACAGGACACTGCGTCTGGTTGGACAGCACTCATGCAGGCTACTTACTATGGGTAGGTGACCAATGCTTTCTATTGGTTAATTCTTTTCTTCTAACTGTCAATTAAATATATTTGCATTTTTATGTAACCTCTTGAACCCTCATAAAAGTTCACTTTCACAATCTTAAATAGTAGAGCATCAATAAATTATTCATTTTTGAACACTGCTTATTCTTGTGTGGTCACAAACAGATCAAATAAATTTACTGCTTATTATGATGCATTTCAGTAAACATTTACCAGGCTTTGGAACTGTGTTTATATGAAATACACACCATGCCATTGAAATGTGGACACATGTCGTATTTCCTGAAAGGATACATATACTTGTATTTATATACATTTATGTACTCTCCAACTAACTAACCCAACACCCCTACTATCCAGTCATCGTAGCTGTTACACCACAGTTCTCCAATCAAAACAGTGACCTCTTCTTACTTCTCATGAAACAATGCATGCTGGGGGATCTGCTTAGATTGATGGCTTTCTTGTTGTTGTTTTTTCAGGAAAAAAGAAGTTGCCAAATACTTAATTACCCAAGGGGCTGATGTGAATATCCAAGCTAAGGATGGCTGCACAGCCTTTGATCTAGCAGTACTTATTGGTAAGTACATATGGTGTCAT